TTTTTTTTTTTTTTTGGAAACAGAATTTTGCTCTTGCTGCCCAGTCTGGAGTGCAATAGTGCAATCTTGGCTCATTGTGACCTTCGCCTCCCAGGTTCAAGCGACTGTCCTGCCTCAGCCTCCTGAGTAGCTGGGATTACAGGCATGCACCAAGATACCCGGCTAATTTTGTATTTTCAGTAGTGATGGGGTTTCTCCATGTTGGTCAGGCTGGTCTTGAACTCCTGACTTCAGGTAATCCACCTGCCTCAGCCTCCCAAAGTGCTGAGATTACAGGTATGAGCCACTGCACCCGGCCAACTCTTTTAAAATTTTTTTGTTTGTTTGTTTTCACCCGGGTGCAGATGAGCTAAGGCTGAAAAGGGCCTGTTTGTTTTTTAGACGGAGTTTCGCTCTTTTGCCCAGGCTGGAGTGCAGTAGCATGATCTTTTGGCTCACTGTAACTTCTGCCTCCCAAGTTCGAGTGATTCTCCTGCCTCAGCCTCTGGAGTAGCTCGGATTACCGGTGCCTGCTACCATGCCCTGCTAATTTTTTGTATTTTTAGTAGAGATGGAATTTCATCACATTGGCCAGGATTGTCTCCATCTCTAGACCTTGTGATCCGCCTACCTTGGCCTCCCAAAGTGCTGGGATTATAGGCGTGAGTCACTTTCAAGATTTCTTTCTTTTTAAAAATAGAGATGAGGACTTGATATGTTGTCCAGGCTGGTCATGAACTGAACTCAAGCAATCCTCTTACCTTGGCCTCCCAAAGTGCTGGGATTACAAATGTGAGCCACCATGCCTGGCCTTCATAATTTTTTCTTTACTTTTTTTTTTGAGACAGGGTCTCACTTTGTTGCCTGGGCTGGAGCGCAGTGGCGTGATCTCAGCGCGCTGCAACATCCACCTTCCGGGTTTAAGCAATTCTCCTGCCTCAGCCTCATGAGTAGCTGGAATTACGGGTGTGTGCCACTATGGCTGGCTAAGTTTGTATTTTTGGTCGAGACAGTAGAATTTTGTATTTCAACATGTTGGCCAGGCTGATTTTGAACTCCTGACCTCAAATGATCTGCTGACCTCAAATGATCTGCCAACCTCCTGAAGTCCTAGGATTACAGGCATGAGCCACCATGCCTGGCCTTCATGATTTCTTAACACAGCTTTCCTCCTCCTCTGGCAGCACAGGGATGGGGTCTGTGTCGTCACCTGCGGTGTCCCCAGTGTCACTCACCATGCTAGGCGCATTATAAATATTTCTCCGTCATCTGATCTGACAGTGAAAAAAACATCCATTCAAGCCACTTTCATGGCTGTATGCTGGGTGCATAGGAGATGGAGTTAAATGAGATTCCTGGCTTATTTTTCCCCCCAATTGCGTACTGAGCATCATAACATTCCCAGAATTGTGCCAGAGACATCAGGATGGATGCAAACAGCTCCTGCCCTCAAGGAGCTCAGAGTTCAGAAAGAGCCAGACAAAAAGACAAGGAGAATCCAGCGGTGAAATGCAGCAACAGAGGCAGTGGCTGAGGGGGCCCAACCCAGCTACAGCAGGGTCAGGGAAGGCTTTTGATTGACATTGACAGCGGCAGGAGGCCAATGCCTAGGCACATATGGGCGGGTCCCCGGTTGAAATCCCATCTCCAAGGCAAAGACAGTTTAAAGCCTGAAAGTCAAGCTACAAGTCGAATCCAGGCACTGGACTGAGAACCTGTCTTCCCGTTTGGCACGCTTTCTTCTGATTGATCCCCAGTCTTCACCTATTGTACATGTACCTACACTTTCCTAATTGGTTTTCTTTTTCTTTTTTTTTTTTTGAGACGGAGTTTTGCTTCGTCGCCAGGCGCCAGGCTGGAGTGCAGTGGCGCAATCTCGGCTCACTGCAACCTCCGCCTCCCGGGTTCAAGCAATTCTCCTGCCTCAGCCTCCCAAGTAGCTGGGACTACAGGTGTGCACCACCACGCCCAGCTAATTTTTGTATTTTTAGTAGAGATGGGGTTTCACCACGTTGGCGAGGATGGTCTCAATCTCTTGACCTCATGATCCGCCCGCCTCGGCCTCCCAAAGTGCTGTTATTACAGGCGTGAGCCAC